AAAAATTTTCGATCATATGCGTGTTAATAGTCATCGATATCAATACAATAAATAAATCCACGAAATACACATGCAAAGTAAACTGATTATGTATGCGAAATCAGCAACTGGGGTCAGCTTTATCTGTACAGCAAAAAATAAAACGCATAAATTTTATCTCAATCATTGCTAAAAACTTACTATAAATTTTTATCGACTTGCTAGTATCGTTAAAAATAACTCTCAATCATAAGGGCATTTCTTTGGCCCGGAGAATATACTTTTACGGAGGTATGCGTAAACGTGTTAAATAATAAATATGTACATTTAAGATAACCCGACCCGACTAATTTCTGCCCTCGCAAAATGAATCGAAAATTAAAATTTTTAGCCGAAATTCATAATCAATCGAACAGGTAATAAATATTTTGATTCCCGTAAACAAAATCGAGATAGGAATATTCAAAAAATATATGAATATGATTAACTCGAGGATTCGTTTATTGTTATATCATTAAAAACAAATTATATTGAATACATGCACAGCTTATTAGACATAATTGTTTTTTTTTTCTACTTTATCCTCAAACACCATGCTAACTAATCATTCTAAATCCACACTATCACCTAAGTATTTAGATTTCAATAACTTCAACCAATGCGTATCATGTTCCCGACTCAGTTTCTTCCTATCCTCAGCTCCTGGTGGCCAATTAATATATTCATGGTTCATAAAAGATGGATAGCACTCAATTCCTTCCTCACCAGCCCAATCGAAATCTATTAACATTCCTTGATATTGACCTTGAGATTTGTTAACCAAAATGTTGGAATCACGGAGGTCAGCAAAGACGATATTTTCCTTATGCAATTTGCTGATAGCTTCTTCGATATCCTCGAAAACCGTTTTACACTCATCATGACTAAGCGAGCTACCACAGTTGTAAAGTGGCTTGGCCTTAACATAATCCATCACTACCATATAAAAACCATCCACCACTTCTTTGTTAACGTGGAGTAATTTTGGCGCTTTTCCAATTTCGCTACATAATTCGTGTGCCCTCTGATTATAACGCCACGTGAATTTAACAACAATCTCCCGCCTGTCCTTTGTTATAGCTTTCCAAAGAAGCTTGTCTGGCTGATCTATAAGCTTTTTTTCATATGTAAATTCTATAGTTATATCTTGTTGTTTGTATTGATTCGGATAAGGAAAAAACCGCTGTGAATTTTGTGGATTTGAAGGTGCATCTAGCGATCCATAATACTCCTTTAGCCTATTAACTCCCAAACACAAAGCTTTGAATAGTCGTGCCACTCGCTCTGCGTGATCTCGAATGTTTGTAGGAATAAGAGGTATGAAGTCCGTCAAGGGATCTACGATGGGTTTCTCAACGTATACTGCTCCTAGAATACACACCCAAGGTCCAGCTAAGCATAAGATAAAAGACGGCCAGTTGCATTGTTTGAGCAATTCCTCATTTTTCTCCTGGGTATAATATTTCGCATAAGAAACTCCAGCCTGGGTAGTCGGATCACATTTGCCAGTACCAATTTCATTTTTTATCTCAGCAAGTAGGCGTAATACACTCAATGAATGGTAATTACATTCCAATGTACCATCATTTGAAGAATCATCATCTAGGCGAATTATTTTTAATTCTTCGCCGAACAATTGTCGAAATTTTTCTCTAAATTTTTTAGAACGCTCAGATTCATTCTGATACATTTTTGCCATTTCATAGATGAGTTCAAGAGTCCATTGATAATGTTCTTTTCCCATTTCTAGATCTTTGTTATGATAATCACGCAGGAACTGATTGAAAACATCATTGTAAACTTGTACTGGTGGGCCAACGCATTCTGGAGGACGGTGAATAAGTAATTGTTTATCCTTATCATGATATTTAATGAGATTATTAATAAGTGCAAAGGATGATGGGGGAAGGTAATCCCGAATCTTTTTTACGTTTCTTTGTTGTTCTGTATAGATTGGAAGAGTTTAGTTGAGATTACAAAAATTCTACAGATGCGGACATATGTTATATAACCAACCTTCTTCATAATTATCCAAATCGGAAAAACGTCGCTTTGTAGTTGATGAAGATCTGCATTGCAAAAATTATTAGTTATATCGGAAGCACTTCACATAATAGCTTGCATACTATGAATAGATTCTCTTACGAGGTTGCGATCTTCTCTCGCTGAAGTGTTATTAGTTTTTCCTCCAATTCTTTTATTTTCTGATCTTTTGCATCCGTATCTATATAATAAGTATGAGGCCCAAGTTAATAAATGAAATTATTGCGGAGAAAGCAGTATAGGTTTGGAATATGAGTCAGAGACTCGACACTTTGTGTCTTCGAATGCAGTCGTGGTACTACTTACCCTGTCCTTCGCCCTTGATTTTTTCAATCCAGGTTGAGATTTTTTTAGCCGGACCCAGTTTTAACCCAGCTCGCATAAGTTCATCGACGTTCAAGCTGAGGAGAACTTCGCCAACAAGTTTTTGTTCTCGAAGAATTTTGAGATCATCATCATCCAGTCCTATATTTTGGTCGCCTAAAAATTTTATCAGAGCCTCCGTTGTTTTATATCCTTCAACTTCGTTGATTGTAGGAAGTGAAATTGGTTTTCCGGTGGAAGTAGACATATTCACGTATTTAGTTTTTGGGATAGGACGAAAAAATTTTTTTAGTAAGAAATAGTCGTACATTCTACCTTTTTATAGTTATACAAACAATCAGATTGTCGTACAGCAGATCACGCGTGCATTTTTTAAGTGATCATACATGTGATTTTGAATACAGTAAAACTGTAATATTATTGTTCCGTCATAACAATATCGAAGTCGATGATTATTTCATTGTAATTATACGTACATATGTCATTTGCGTAGTGTGATAATATTGACTCAAATTTTCTCTATTATTTCGGAAGAAATAGCACTTACGGCCTGCTTTCGGATACCACATCCGTGATCGCTTTTTAAAAAATAACAATTTCATTACAACATTAAACATATTTTGGAGAGAATGCATTGGGTCAATGTAGATGAATGCAATAGCTACAATGCGTGAAATAGCCAAAATTTTCGAGCAAAATCCTGAAACATACACAAATCACGATTATGTATGTTATTGCTGAATGCTTTCATAAGAGAAGTTTTTTCATATAAAGATGTGTTAATTGAATCGGAATTTGACAGATTTTTAACTACTGAAGTAAATTTATTGGGCCAATGTTTGGTTAGATACTGTAATTTCAGCCGGGGCGCCCCGGTCGAAAAATGAAAAATGGCAATTTCTACTTGTGTCCCGTCTCACAAATTAGCTATGCATAACAATAAGCCTTGCAAGGTATAACGATAAGCCTTGCAAGGTGATACAGTTAAATTTTACATAAGATAATGATAATCACGAGATGATCGTCAGATTTTTTTTTCTTTAGCCGGATAAGCATAACAGAAAAATGATTACGAATAAAATGCACGTGCAAAAAATATATTATTTTTCTATGGTAGAGTCTGGACAAGCTTGTCCGAGCTCGTCAAAATTGAGCAGAAGCTGGATCAGCATCCGGTTAAATTTATCTCCCGAAACCTATATTTTCCTGATGGACATGCATATAAGCTCAAGTTAAATTTATCTCCCGAAATAACTGTGCATTTATGACTAGATTATTTTTTTTTGATGGTAGAGTCTGGACAAGCTTGTTCGAGCTCGTCAAACTGCAGAAGAATAAATGAATCATGTATGTCAAGTGATAATTTATAGCGAGTATTTCACATATTTTACGAAATTATTTATTGCACATCACACAAATAAAAATGATGGCTGAGGCTGGACAAGCTTGTCCGAGCTCGTCAAACCTTATGCGTTAAGATTTCAGCCATTACATATTTGGTTTCATCCGCGGTTAGATTTAAGATGAATGATGGGGGGATAGATCTAATCCGGGCTATTTTTTCTTTCCCAATGCTATTAAAAAGCTTGTAAATTTTTTCGGATCTCTTTGTTCTTTTTCGCAAAGCTTCATCAGAGCATTTTGTCTCGGGAATCACCACCCTAACCTCTTTTTTAACTATCACTTCAGATCCATCCTTGCCAAACTTGGGTTTTAATTCCTTGTATTGTTTAAATACGGCTTCTCCAAAATTAAAATAACTGAAAATGAGACCCCGAGATGCTTCTTCGTTTTTAGTTTCAGCATGATCAATCCTTTCAGAGAGTTGTAAAAAGTTACTTACGTTTTCACTTGTTTCTTCCAAGCTCCTACCACTATCAGGAATCTCGGTTAATAATTCTTCGATAAGTTGTTTTATTGTGCTTGATACCTTCTTCCCACCAGTTTTTTTCACTTTTTTGCTAAATGATTTTTCAGTAGATGCAGATAATTCCCTAGTACGTTTTTTCTGGGTAGTCTCATTAAGTAAGGGTAATAATGGTGATACAGCCATTGGAGAACCTAATCCAAAGTCATCACTTAACATTTCTGCAAGAGCAGAAGTTCCACTAGACTGAGATGATGATTCGGAAAACCTTCGTTCGGATACTACTGAATCAATGATTTTATTACAATCAGATAAAGGGCATTTGTTTTCTGTTGTAAGTAAAAATTTTTTTTTTATACATTTTCTATGATATATATGTCCACATAAAAGTATTGTAAATGATTCGAAATTAACAGATAATATTTTGTTTTCACATAGTTTACATGGTGGCAATTCTGTAACAACGATATCTTGTACTACGTTATGTTTTGTTTCTTTTAAAATATTAAAAGCGAAGTTTTGAAGATTAGTAAGAGACATAATAATGATTAGATACCAGATAAGTTTTTAACAACGAAATTACTTATACTTAGTTTTTTTATATAGTTTATTTCTCACGACTAACAAACCTAATTTGCAGATTTTTAAAAAACTAATTTCGGATTCAGTGATCAATTCATTCATGAATTATTTAGTATAGGGGGAATCGCTCGATCTTTGCTAGTAATCATGGATAAATAATTTAGCTTAAAGGTAGACCCAAAGGGTTATTGCTCTGCAATAGGTGTGGTTAGTGAGTTGGTTAGTACCTAAATACTTCTATGCTGATCTCCGATTCGTGGATTTAAAACACATGACATCACTCTCTTGAGGCCCATTATAACGTGATGTGATTTACTTCACTTTGTGGCTATATATAAGATCATCAAGCTCGATAATTAACTTTACCTCTTACTTTACGCTTTCGAATAGGGTGTTTCTTTACTGCTCTAGTCTTATGCGTACGTGTAACTTCTATTTCTGAACTAGATGTGGAAGAATTACTTGAATCGCTGTCTAAAGTGTCTGAATTAGAAGAAGCATCTGTAGAATATTTGACATTATTTTTCTTACTCTTATTTTTGGAAACATCGTCATTTAATCTTCTGGATGGTAGATGTGTAGGAGGTATGTTGCAAAGCAATGACCCTTTGGGTCTATCTCTAATATTTGAGAGAATTTTGTTAATTATATTCATAACCTCCTCTTGAGCTAAACCAGGTTTAGATTCTGTTGATTTAGATAAATTATTTTTAGTGAAGCTGGCTTTGTTAAAATCTTTATCAAATAATGGGATGCTCATACCATCTATTACAATTTTAGCATAGCAGACACGGGTTTTGGGAGAATGTCCAAAGCTTATTTTTGCTTCACGCATCCATAACCAATCTTGCCCCAACACCAGATCGAATAATGGATTTTTGTGAATTTGAAAGTCTATTAGTTCAGTATCACCTAAACTTTGCCACTTTCTTTTAATGTGAAACTGTAAATCTAAACCTTTTATTTCTTCACCTATCAGATCATCACCAACTATACCTTCTAATCCGTGATCAGATTTAAGCTTATTGAATAAGTGTTTGCTAATAGTATTATATTTAGATGTTGTATCAATTAACGCTTTTACTGTGATTTTTTCTTCTACGAGTGTATTGATGAACATGTTAAATATGTTTAATGATGTATATTATAACCAAAAAATAATATTTATTCTGAATTTTATTATGTATTAATATAATAAATAATAGCAAAGCTAGTACCAGGGTACATATTACGATACGATATTAACAATGAATAAAACTATATTAGAAAATAATCATAAATCTCGAAATGGTAATAGTGTGATATCTCGCATTATTAAACAAGTGTCAAATAAAAAAATTCAGATCTCTTTCCATCAATTACTAAAAATAGTGAAACCCGAGATTCAGCAGGATATTATAAACTCGATAGCAAACCCAGATATTTCTCGAAGAAATCGTATACTATGCAAGGCTAAAAGAAAAAAGAAATTTTTTAATGATACCACATCTGAGTTCTCATCCTTATCTTTATCTGGGTCTAGTTATGAATGGTCTAATGATGAAGATTTTGCTATAAATATGGTGAAAACAAAGAAGTGTGATTAGTTCTCATTGTCAAAAATTTCTCTGTATAAATTGATATTATCCTTGACCTTACTATTTTCTTGTTTAGGTGCTGGAGTATACAAAGTTTTCCCAATGGTCCTTACTAATAATATCATATCCTAGTATTAATAAACATTTACATATATATTTGGGCAGATGATACTTCACAAATCGTAACCAAGCTTCTGGTGTTTTTAGATTATTGATATAGTTTAAACCATATTCAGTTAATATGTATTGAGTATAACTATTTTTTGTCTATTCCTCAAAAATATCTTGAATATTGAGTGAGTTGTATGAATACATTATATATCAAATGTATTGTTTTATCTGACTAAGACATTTTTATTTCATTTACTAAATTTTCACTCGCACGTATCTTAACTGCTTTCTCTACTAGATAAAAAAAATAAATTGTGAAGGTTTGCCAAAAATAGCTAGATTGCCATTGCTTTGAGCACCTGTTCTACTTCTTTATCTGACCTAAAAAATAAAAACGCCTTCATATATTTATTTTATCGAAAGAGCTAAGACATGATTTAGAATATAGCAGTTTTTTAGAAGCTGGCTAGCATTGAATCAATTTCTGCTATTTGAGATTCGAAGAGATTAGAATTATTGTTTTTAGGTTGGAATGATGAGGCCTAAGATCCAGAGATTGGGCTAGATGCTTGGTCAGATTCGGATTCGAGATCAGAGTCTTCTGATTCTGTATCGCCTATAGCATAATTCTTTCCCGCATCTAGACAAACAATCTTATGCCTCAATGCTATTCTGTTAAGAAGATCAAGATGCTAATGAGTTGGGTTTGGACCACCGTGAACTCTGCAGGCATGCTTTCCTCCTATTTTTCTTAATATTTTAGGTGTGATTTTATAAGGCTTCAAAAACTTGCTAAATGCCCTAGTATTGCGCTTTCCATTTTTACTAAAAGTAGGATCACTTAACTTTCCGGCCTTTATAGCTTCTTGAATCTAGATAAGCAATGCTTTTGCACATTCTGGGTTCTTCTCCATTGATAGGAATGGGCGAGGTTCTAGATTATTCTTATTTTCTCCTTTATTCTTAGCATATCCAGTACAATACCAAGAATAACCATTTTTATACCATGCCGAAGGATTAGATGGATCAACTTCGTAGTGATCAATCTGGAGGCTGGATACTTCAGCAGGTCTTATACACAACATCATTATTACATCTGCGAGATCCTGTAATAAGAGATCTTTGGTAGTATCAATGTTTTGAATTCTTTTAAGTCCTTTTTCTAAAGAGAAATGTGGTGGAATTTTTAACTGATTATTGGCTACATCTTGTTCAGTCTGTTCTTTCTGAATTTTGTTAGAAGCCGTGGTAACACCCAGAAGTTTAGCATAAATATCAATAGGTTCTTGAGCAATACCAGCTTTTGCCAATTTATTACGAAATAGAAAGAGTCGCAAACAGGAGGCAATGATTTCGTCATTACTTTTTGGACTTAAATCGAGAGCATGGATATAAATATCCCACTCATTACCAGTTTTGGCACAATAGAGAGCTCTTTTTTCAATGATGAGCTTTTTCTTTCTTTTATCTGGCACAAGAACTCCTATTTGATTTTCTTTGAATAAGCACCGATGGAGAGCCTCTTTCACATCTTTACGAGCCTTCCAATCCGGTAGCATAGTACTAAGCTCATCAGCATGAGCACGTAATTGAAGCGGGTTTGATTCGGCCGATAGGTTATATTTATTGAGAACCTGATCCAAAATGGAGGTAAAGCTATTAGTTTTGGGTTTTCTAGTTTTTCGGACAGTTGCCATAATAGATATGTAAATAATCTATATCAATAAGTAGAATGTAATTGTATATTAATCTACTTATTTTTTTTAATTCGAAATTAATTACGCTTTTTCCTCTTATACTCAAAAAAAAGAGGTTATGTATACCTATAGGGTTACCGGATGTTAAGCTATATGATTATACTTCGTGCATAGAATCAGGGAAGTCAGATATATAATTCTTAAACCTGGTAATTTGTGCACATAATTCATTCTGCTTTTTTCTGTCATAATTCTCTTTACTTTTATATTTTCCCACATGTTTATTGCATGCATTATATTTAGACCTATTTAGCTCACCACAATCTCTACAAGGAGTAGGTATTGGAGAATTACGATGAATATAACATCTTTCTGATTTACTACGTCGACCACAGATTTCTCCAGTTCTATAAATATATGAGCAATGGTATAATATTATCGTGATTATATATAATAATTACTTCAATCAAATATATAATTTTTTTGGCATCCAGCTAAAATTTCTGGAATAATTAATTTTATTTTAAAGATTTATCTACCAATTAATATAGTTTCAATAACATATACTTTTTGTCAGATCAAACAACGCACATATACAAACAACATATATACAAATCAATAAAATGAGTTTGTCTAGTGAAGCAAAAAAATATCTTCATGAATTGTTACAGCAACAGTGCTTAAATCAAAAGTCAGCTGAATATAATAAAGCAAAATGGCTTTTTATAGGTTTAACAGATCTTGATTATAAACCTAGCCATAAAGAACATACATTTTATAAATACTGGCTTGCATCCAGGCCCAAAGGGGTGACCCTAAAGGGTCATGGCCATACTGATAAAAATAATACTGCACTTTTAGACGCATATCTACCTGAGGAGATTCATTCTCAATATATAATTCGGATGGCAGGAAAAGGTTATACAGTGATCGATCATTCTAGCGAAGTTTATAGAATACCCGATACTCATGAATGTATTGATGGAAACCAGCCTCTCCGCTTAATTATCAATATTGATGCAAGACAAAAGCATGATTCTACAAATCCTAAAGTGCCTTCTTTAGATGGTGAAAAAATTACCCAAGAAAATTTGATATCTCGAATTTTAGTTGCTTGTGCAGATGCATTAAGCCTTATTCCTGATTGTATGCCTTTCTTAAATTCTTTTGCCTTAGCTAGTTCATCAAACGCTGAGAAATGCAGTTGGCATATTATTTATCCTCGTGCCCAATTCATAGATTATAGAGAACTTAAGGGATTCACAGAAAAGGTTATGGAATTAGTTGGGAAACCTTATTCAAAATTTATTGATATCAGCCTTCCTAAAACATATTTTAATCTTCGGCTTCTAGGATCAGCAAAGGAAGGTTGTATAAAAAGACCTGCCATTTCTTCTGTTAAAAACAGATTTAAAAATTTAGATGATTATCTGGTTCAGCCTAAAGAGAATTATTCTGTGATCTGGCCACGAACCTTTTCTTCTGAGGAGCCAGTAAAAGAATCCCAACCTATCAACGATGACAATGCCTTGGTTAAAGAGGCTAATATAGTCATTGAAAAATATGGGTGGCTCCAGATTGGAAGGATCGAGAAGGGATTCATCAATTTTCAAGCACAATCAGTTAAAGAATGTCCTATATGTGATGTTAAACATGATAAGGATCAACTCTATGGATTTATTCGAAAAAATGGGCATTTTATACTCAAGTGCTATTGGCAAAAACAGTACAAACCGGATCACAAGGGTCTTAGCTTCGATAAGGTATCAGACAAAGTTGAGTTGAAAGAGAAACCTAAATTGGGATTAAGTGAAAGAATCGCCAATGCTGTATTAAATCCACATTCACTTTCTGAATTACATGAAGAAGTCATTAATGTTAAAAAGTTAAAAGATACTCCTAAGTCATATCCCGATTTCTTAAGTACTGAAAAAACAGCAACTCTTATTCATTTATCCCCAGCAACATAGAAAACTACCACCCTAAGAGAAATTATTATGGCTTCAAAATCTAAGGTAAATAATACTTCCTCATTACCATGTTATATCTGGATCTCTTATCGAAAATCTCTTAGTAATGAATCAAAAACAAAACTTGATGAGTTAAGAGCATCAGGATTCCAAATCTGCAATTATCAGAATGTGCAAGGAGACTTATCTATAAACGAGTGGGACATTATTATAGTACAAGTCGAGAGTCTTTTCCGCATTAAATTTACAACCCAACTATTTGTAGCTATTCTGGATGAGATTAATGCGATTATGCGACAAATGAATAGTGGCACAAATGCACGAGAATCTGAGAATGCAATGCATGACGTATTAAGATCGGCTCAGCATATTTTAGCAATGGATGCATTTGCAAACGAAAGTACACTAACCTTCCTTAAGGCTTATTGTGGTGAAAATGTCCGAGTAGTCGATAATAAGTATCAGCTTCGTATAGATGAAATGGTTGAAATTATCTACGATCCAAATAGTAGGGCCGAAGCTATGCGAATAGGATATGGATTTTTGAAGCAAGGAAAACGTGTAGCTTTTGTATCAACTGGGGCAGTAATGGCTAGAGCATTAGTAGAAAGAGCATCTAAATTAACAAAACCAGATAACTCACCTATCAAAGCCCATGCTTATTATGGAGATATGGATGGAAAACAACATCAAGAGGATTTTTCTGATATCAATACTGCTTGGGGTGAACTTGACTGTATAGCTTATACAAATACAGTAGAAGCAGGTATATCTTTTGAGGTTACAGGTCATTTTGATATAGTTATAGCTATCACGAATATCGCAACTCCAGTTCACGTTGAAGCACTTGCCCAAATGCTTTATCGAATTCGTGATTGTCCTCGTCGCATTGTTTCAGTGTTCTATCAAAAAAATTCTAATAAGCTTTTTCTTTCCCCAGGTCGTGAAAATATTCGTGCAGAACTTGCGAGTGCTCGACTCAATGAGGTACCTACAGCAATAAAAGGACACCATGAATGGGATAAAGATATTGTTTCTTATAAACTTGATGATTTTCCGGTCGTGGTAGCATTATTGAAGTTGAACACCAAAAACATCTTTCTGCAAGAAATTTTATTGAGAAGTTTTGTAGTCTCATAGCCAGTACAGGTGCAAATCTTCAACTAATAAAAATAGACGAGGGCCAGGGAATTATAGGAAATCGTAAAAAAATTCGAAATTGGGTTAGAGCTAAAGCATTGGACATCAAGGAAACAGACTTTAGTGCAATTGTTACTGCTCGGAATCTTAGCCCTGAAGAAGCAGAGTTTCTCAAGCTTGATCAAGAACATTCTGTTGAAGATATGATGGTGCTTAAGCATTTTTATATATGGAGCCTTTATGGTGGAAAGGATATGAGTATTGATGATTGGAATAAACTCTGCGACAAAGAATTTGTAGAACACTTTGGTCTACCTGAGCCTCGAAAGCATTTCTTACGACTTTCTCAATTCCGAAGACAGGGTTACGATGAAGAGAGTGCAATAGAAGGCTCGAAAAACAAAGACATTGCACAATGGGAAGATACCTGTTATAAAGCTGAAGAGAATTTCGAGGATTCAGTAGCAAAGGATTTGTGCAAAACATACTCAGCGAATCATTAGGAAGCTATACGAGGGCTTTTCCAATCACTTGGTTTTACAGGTATAGATGATAAGCAAATTCTCTCTGATGATCAAGTAAAAGTTGCATTTGAAGCATCTCGTGAAAGATTTATAGAAATTTGAAATCAATCTTTATTACTCTTTGGCTTTAAATCTTGTGTAAAAGAAATACCAGATCTTAATTCAGCTTTAAAGGCAATCAATGCAATTGTTGGCAATTGGTGTAGCTATACTATAAAAAGTAAACGAAAATTAGTAGGATCTAAAAAACAACAAATTTGGAAGTATTTATACCAAATTAATCGAAATCCCTATAAAGGACGTGGTTTTGATAATCAAGAAAAAATAACAGCTATAAAGGTGAATAATCCCAAATATCTCCCTATAAATCCAGTTCTTCCATTGTATAAGCAAAAGATAAATAATGAGATTCAGGATCTTTTCGATTCTGTACCTATTACTAATAACACTACTTCAGATTATACAGAGCGTGAAGTTTCTAACTTATCTATTAATCCAGCTCGAGATCAATCAATCGATTCAAATAAAATAAGTAAACATGAAGAGTATCATACTCAAGATATATGTCATGCCAATGCTACTATTGATGAAGCCAGTATAGTTAAGAAAAAAATACCTAAATCCTTAACTTCTTTATCTTTAGAATTTCTCATTAAAAACGAATCTAATATAGATATGCTTATCTTCTATTTACAACAAAAATTTCAAATGTCTCAAGAAAAGCTAGAGCAATGGAGAACCAAGATTGCCTTTGAAATGCAGGATAATCATAATTACTGGAAAAAAGAGCGCGAGAGTATGGGTGAGGCGGATTTCTTGGAATACAAGCAGAAGTTTGAGACTAAATTGGGTATTCCTACTACTTCGCACAAAAAAGAACTGAAAAATAAATCTTTAGCAATCATTGAATATGCATAATTCTTATATATCTTTCAACAAGCAG